ATGCTTGCGATTTATTTTTAAACGTCGGACCTGCTTTGGACCGCCTACAATACAATACGCATCAGAGGAGCCTAAATTTGTGGCAGATTGCGCGTGAAAATAGCGTGTTGGTATGTTTTGAGGCTCAAAGCCACGTTCAAAGCTCACGGTTAAATTTGGCATGAGTTTTTACAAGTGCAACGTTACTTGTGCAACTAATGTATTGCTTTCAGGTGTTTAGTAGATGGTTTTTATTATTCATGTTGTTTTTGGCATATAAACAGAAAAATCAAAATATTAGTTGAAAACTGTTGCAAATCTATTAAATAAATGCATTTTGGCATTAAACTAACACAAAGTATACTTAAATTAATCATGTGATGAATCTGTATATAATAACTAATAATATACATGCAAGTTTGGCTTTCTTTGTTTGTTTGTAACGCTTTTACGCATAAACAACTAAGTCAATTTTGATAAATTTTGGTATAGAAGTATTTTTGACTATGGAGAATAACATAGACTACTTTTTGTTTTAAAATTTTAACTAAAAGGGTGTAAAACAAGGGATAAAAGTTAATGTGGAGAATTAATCATAGTTATAGTTATATAATATAAATCGAGATGACGCTAAAGTTTATTTAGAAATGATAATTTTCATTTCATTTAAATAAAATGAAAAAATAATAATTTCACTTTAATAACAAAATTATATTAAATTCTCGTAATAAATAATTAATTTAAAACAAAATGTACGAATTTTTGCCGGAATATAAAATTATAATATTAAAAAGTCATATTTTACGTACTTGTTAAAATTTAAAAAAATCTTTTGTGAATTACACGTTTAAAATCGCAATTACCACGTCAGCGCATGAAAAAACTTGGCATCGGCGACTGTATCACGTGAAATTCAGTTTAGTGTTGTCATATTTCGTGCCAACTCGACTAGCACTCGTATTTACTAACTGAAACTAGTTAGTACGAAATGAATAAATTTGTTCAAATATAATACAAGTATTTGCACAGTTAAATGAAGAACTTAACTCAACACAAAACCCTGCTTTGTTCTGCGCGCATTTCACGAGTAATTAATTAGTGTACTCATCACTGCCTAGTTCAGACCAAATATTTTCCGGCCAAACAGTTTGAAACTCACTTTTCAAAGATACAGCCTTTCATATTTAAATCGCATTTATATTTCTATCACGTCTAGGCATCTCCTACTCCTAATCAAATCTCTAGTGGCAAGCCATAAGTTACACGCCACCCACAGAATCAACCACGGAGTTCCCGACGTTATTGTGATTAATGCATGTTTTATTAAAGTGATTTCTGGTGATTATTTATGCGCCGAACTCGGAGAGGAAGAGTCATGCTGCGAGAGGTACGTCAGCGGAATGCTTTTGAAACCTTTTACAGAAAGGAAGTCGGATGTTGCACTTGACTCTTATATTTTTAATTTCCTCATATTTATGCGTGTAACGTCTCCGTCTCGAAATTACGTAACGCCTTGAACCACGTCTGTCCGCCAACTAATCTTAATGAATTTAATTACAGCCCGCACCAAAAAATCCAGTTTTGATAATCATAGACCGGAATTTATTTTAATGTGCCAAGAAATAAAACTTGATGCTTCCGTTCATAAAATTCATAAAATCAATTAATGTTTAACACAATAATCCGTCATAACTTGTCAACTGAACAAATAATTACTTTTTGCTGTATTTATCCTGTCAGGATTGTAATTATTTCTTGTGTTTGTGAGGTTGTCACATTACTAGACCGTAGAGATTAATCTTCGCAGAAAAGGGGTGCGAATTGATACGTAATTCAATTTAACGCTGCAATTTTCTACCACAACACTTTGCTGGCCTTTATTAGTTTCCCTCCTGCATCAAGACCATCAACATAAATTGGATATTGATGCTCTGGTCTTCTATTGATTCCTGAAGTTAATATCATCATTAATATACTAGTTGTTTGCCAGCTCGATACCAGACGCGTTTTTCTGATCAATTAATGCGATAAACTTTTGATGGATTTTATTAGTCTCGATATGCCTCGCTGCAGTCTATCCGTTGATGAACACTTCGATAGAGTCCAGACGCGTGCCTCGTGCCGACTTCGGTTACGTTCCGGTGATTTTGACCATCTGTTGCGCGAAGGGGTCGCGCTTCGTTTCTTGGCGTCCGTCTTTTAATCGGAAGTGCGCTCCTTTTCCCGCCACTAGGTTAGGTATATCTCACCCTCTTGTAGCGCTGGCCCCATCCGGTGGGGATATTATTATTTGAATCTAACACTGCTACACCCGCAGTCGTGATCAAGTATGCAGTCGCATGTAATTTTAACGGACTTTGAACGGAGTGCATCACTCGAGAATCTCTCCGGCGCGTTGCCGGCGCGAAAGGTAGGAAACAAGGTAAACGCCTTCGGGGTGTTGTACCCGCTGCATTGCATTTTGCATGCCCACTTCCTTTGAACTCGTACATGGCACACGTCACAGTTCAGCACGTGCCGCCGGATATGCGATACTTGTAAGGTGGACTAAACATCCGTTTGAGTGCGCGACGTCCCGTTTCGTGCATTTCTAACATCTTTGAACATCACTGAATGCAAATTTCACTTCACGAAAATTTCTTGCATAAGATTGTGCTTTAAAAATTGAAGATTAAGTTATGTTGTGTTATGATTTATATAACAGCGCCATCTACGCATGAAAACAAAAAATTATGTTTTTAACCTCTAAATTACAACTTCTAGTCATAGTTGTGGTTTTTTTTATAGAATAAATTAAACAAACAGTAATAATTGTCACCAAAAATGGTTGTTTTGTAAAATGACGAGTTTTTTGTTTCTTTAAGAAATTTTTACATAAATTTTTGTTTTGATTGTAGGTTAAAATATTGAGATTAACTTATATTGTGTTATGAATTATAAAACAGCGCCATCTATATACAAAAACAAAACAATATGTGTCTAACCTCAAAATAACGACTTCTACTTATAGTTTTTATATAATAAACGAAACAAACCGCAATAATTGTCACAAAAATCGTTGTTTTATAAAATAACTTGTTTTTTGTTTCTCTGTGCACCGCACGTGTCCTCTTGCAAGAATTTCAAGTAAAATACGACGTTATGTGCTGTCTAGCGTAAATTTAACCACGTAACGGCAACAAACCATCGAAACCCCAAAGAATTCGACATTACAACACTACCTACACATGTCGTCCACAACACACAGTACGAGTATAGTTTCACCTTTTCTGGCGTCTCATTGCTCATCCATTAGTTAGATTCTACGACGCGTGAAATGCGCCCGTTGCATTCATAATTAACCACCCCGTATTTATCTTATATCTTATCTTTAATTTTCGTCTACATTTACACCTTTATTATATCCGCACGTGCAGTAAATTAATAGCAAAAATGTCATTTAAACACAGTCGGAATTCAATTAATCGCGCATAATTGTTTATATTTGCATTTAATTATAATTCAACACAATGCCAAATATTCCAACGCACGCCGCACACACAATTTCTATGTTGCACATACTGAATTATGCGCGAACAAAATATCATTCGAATGATTAACATCGAGTCAGTGCCGTTTATTACAAGCGCAGTTAATAGCGCTGGCGAAATTGGTGCAATTTCTAATGGATAATGGAATGCGAACGCTCATTTCGCTCCATTACCGCCGCCGCGATTGCATCCCTGCGCCGGATGAATATAGCCCGCTACGTGGGAGGTAATATAATACGAATCTTTATTCGATTAATTGATTATTGATTGAAACACGCGCGCGCGCCACGAATGTCGTCCATGATGATAATTTATGTGCGAGAAGCGTTATAGCAAAACATGGAAATTATGCGCGGCGCATTGCTAATTCGCCGGGGCTATAACTAGAAAACATCATTTTGGGATTTATTGACTTTGTAATGTCCATTGAAAACCCGGCCGGTGTAAAATGTTTATGCAGTCGACGCTAAATATTATTCCTCGTCTCGCAACAATTATTACGACTACAATTGACACTGATTGAGAGTGCTACTAATGGATGATAAATCAACAGTCAATAAATAGCATTCTAATATTGATTTGCATTGTTTTACTTTGTGTTAATGTTGTTTTAAGGTGTTTTGCAGCGAAAGATGGCGGTAGTTTGTAGTTTTATCACGCGGTGTCATGCCAGACTGCGCATTGGGTTGCCTACGGTTCGCAATCTCAAGACAAAAGTGTATTAAACAGCCATAAACTAAATTGGATTCTTAATTGTGTTTGGCCGGCGCGTTTACGTCGTAATAATGCGGCGGTTAAACGTTCGTCCGATACCACTAGGACACTAGCGGTGATATTCGTGTGCGTTTTTCATCCTTTCCGTGATCGTTGCCTTTTTCCACTCCTGCGCACGCTTTCATGCATTTAATGTTATTGAGTCATTTATTGTGCGGCAATTCCGAGCAGCGCATTGTACAAATTTTATTAACATTTTGAATCTGCAATAACCGTGTCTTTGAACTCTGTAGTCACAATGATGCATCATCAATTCTTTGTTTGTTTGCATTTTCGGCGCAAAGTGCATGGTAAATATTTGCGCAAATCATAAACCCAGGGCGACAAATCGTCTCACGCTTATAATTTATTTATAGATTTATCCGTTTTGCAAACATCGAAAGATTTCGTCCGCCTTGGCCACCATTCGCGTATTGTGTCATACGCGTGGCGCGCTGGCTCGTGGTTTTATTTAAATTTAAATGCATGATAAAAGTCAAACGCGGTTGCTGCGGGCGAGAAATGTTTAAAACTTTCCTGCGTCGTAATATAATCTTCTATAAATACAATACTCTTTTGCTTTTTAACTCAACGACGCTGTAAAATTTTTCAAGCTATGTTTACGTTACATTTTTACGACAACGGCGAATTTTTTTCAAATTTAAAAAAAGCGGAGTTTGAGTCCGGAATAAAATTAGGTTTTTATAACTTACCCAGAGCGATGATGCACGCCAGGAACAATAAAAGCCGATGCCAAATATCCATGACTAATTGGTAACTCTAGCAGGAAGGCACTGAATATACAAATAATTCGCTGCCGGACCACATTCACTCAATCGAGAGCTTTTCGCGTGAAAAATTAGCGAATGTATATCTTTATCACTTCGCGACAATAATAAAAAGTTGCCGCGATGCGCGGTGTATTTTCGTGTGGAGCGCGCGCGACTTTCGGGCCGTTCCGGCGCGCGCGTGTTTGATGATTTCCTCGGCTGCTCGCCCGCCGCTATCCGGCTCTGAGTGCGCGTATCAAGTGTGTGCGGCTGCCAGACAGCGCGCGCTCTCGTTCACTTCGCCGCCAGCCGCGCCGTTACGTTCGCTAAACTATACTGAAACTACTGCTCAACACAGAAACTATTCCCGTAGTTCAACCACCATGCATGCTTAACCAAGCGGAATGCATGTGTGCGTGGATTCGTCCGCTTCGCCACCGACACCGTGTTGCATATTGTAACATGTTCGTTATCCGGCATTCGTAGAATGAATGTGTGTGAGTGCAGTGGACGAGCGCGCTCTTTATTGAAGATTGGTTTTTATGTTTTATATCAAATTGACATGGAATATAGAAACATGGGAGCTCATTTTCACTCGGGTCCCGAGCGACTAGTTGAAAAATTAGGTTATGTGGTTATAGTAATATAGTTAGAAGTTTTATTCGAGTATAAAGGCAGGAAACAAATGTAAATATTTTATTTTTACTTGTTAAACAATATGCAAGTTAATTTTTGTGTTTTTCTAGATTTGTTGTATTGTTGGTTGCCGCTATACTCAACAATGACAGATGAAACAATGCTAATATTAACATTCAATTGTCCCCACAAAGTTATATCAAATATTATTAAACTCAGAGTTTTCACTTGAATCCCAAGCGCCTAGTTGAAGAATATGGTTGTGTGGTTATAATAAAGTAGTTACAACCTTTATTAGAGTATAAACAAGCAGAATACAAGGGTAAACACTTTACTTTTACATTTTCAAATAATATTACGCTTTAAAATGCAAGAATTCTCTAAGATAACTAAATTTTTGTGATTTTTAGGTTTGCTGTATTGTTGGTTGCCTATATATATATACTCAACTCAAAGAGATGAAAACCTTTTGACCTTAAATTTTTACTATAAAGTTCTGTCAAATATTAAATTGTCAGTTTACACCGAAAAATTAGGTTATAGTTATAGTCACAACTTTTAATAGAGTAAGTATAAGCTGAATACAATTGTAACAATGTTATTTTTACTTGTTACGAAAATATTATGCTTGAAAACAACTGCAGTGTAAGAATTATTAAATATTTATAAATTTTCAGACTTTATCGACTTTCTTATAATGTTGCTAGTCGATATTCTACATAGTTTTCACCCCGATCCCAAGCGTCTAGTAAAAAAATAAGGTTAGTGGTTATAATATATTAGTCACCATTTTTTATTAAAGCATAAATAGACAGGACACAATTGCAATCATTTTTTATTATCAAAAGCACAATAATTATTAAATTCTTTTAATTTTTGTGACTTTATTAGCTTCAGTTTAACGTTGGTTGCCTATATACGCTCTTAAAATGTGATTGCCACCACAACGTCATATCGAATTTTAAATACGCAGCGAATATGGTGAATATGTGCATATTATTGAAGCAATAAAGAATATTCCAAGCTTCCTGCATCGCGCTAAATGTCTACAAAGCGACAATACGCGCCGTCGGTCGAGCAGAATTTAAATTTCATATCGCACATGAATTCGCATATGATACTCATAAATATTTATAACATGCGTGATAAACGATTAGATGCTTGAAATCGTTGCATCGTGCACTTCGCTCGCCAAAACCAGACCCGTATTTAATAATAGAAATTAATCACGTGAAAAACCCGACCTACTTTGCGTCCATCGGTCAGAAATTCACAATTAACTGAGAAACACACTTTGTGCTTACTAGAGTGAATTTCGGGCCGTAAAATAGTTCGAACCAGTGCACATCGGTGTCGACGAGTTGTGTGGAACTAGGATGCGCCACTTGCGATTGATATGTGTGGCGCGAATGTTCGAGTTTACTCCTATTACAAGTATTACAACGCGTTTAATTTGTTTACATTCCTAATGGATGGCGGCGGGGCACGAGCGCTGCGCAAACCTTGCGTCGTAATCGCGACCATAACTGCAAAACCGCCCGCATTAAATTCACTGTTTGCCTGGCCACTAAAGAATACGAGCTGGCGAAGGAAGAAGACGAGCAGGAAGTGGCATGAGACGGATATAAATACAACGCATACATCATGAAAATGCACACACAAGTTGAAAATCTATTTGTGTTGAGATTTATAATGGACAGTTATCGACAAATCGGCTGTAAACATCATAAATGTTGAGCAGATCGTGTATATCTATGCGATTGCACTTCATGGCGTCCATTAGCTTCGTCCTAGCGTCCTGGAAACAAAGAAAAAACACTGGATGAAATCGCATTTGGAGAAATTCGCAGCCGCAAATGAAGATATCTGCAATGTCTTTCTGATATTTATTGGCGTCGGATTCCGCGAGGAATGCACAAGGAATATCCGAAGATGCATCATAAAGTTAAGGCCATAAAGGGAGGATTAAACGAGCAATAAAGGCGCTCGTATCAGACGGTAATTATTATGGCAGGCGACAACGAAGACATGCGCGACGTGACTTGTCATGTGAGCTCCAGAGGGGATAAAATTTAGTTGCGTATTAAATTTGATCTTTTCATGTGGATTAAATTTGAGCATTCGAGGAGATATTAAAGATCATGTAAACGGTATTAATTTAACTAATTTAACTAAAATTAACTGAGCATAACCTAAAAGTACGTCAAGTAGGTTATGACATTTGACAGCACAAAGTACAGTGTTGCAATTTTATCTACAGACATCTAAAGGTATAAAATAAAGTTGGGTTAGTTACAACGTTTATAACTCAAGAACCGCTGGACAGATTTTAATGATCTATGATTTATTGGATTCATCTTGGATCCGAATAGCAGAATAAGTATTAAAACATCAAAAATTGTGATAAAAAGAGTGTTAAATACGCGATTGAAATTGATACAGACTCAAACATAGTTTTAGTTGAATATTTCAAACATAGAGGGCGCTAAAGTGCTTTAAGATACAAAAAAGCAAATATTAACAGCATTTTAACTTTAAATGAGACATAAAACATTTAAGTTAGATTTTTTAAAAGAAAAAAACTGAATATATGTACCTTGAGAATATTAACTGATTGTATGTGCTGGAAATCTTGCTTTTGCCACTTCCGGCCGTCGTTAAGGGACGCCATCGTAAAATATCGTTTCAATTGGCACAATTCCTCCCCGGGCGCCTCGATCCGCAAGCACTTCTTGCCGACGTCCAATTCCAACTGCACCCGTTGATCATTAATTTCGATTTTGGCGGGGCGATTACCCTCGTTAGAAATAATTTGCGCCGGATCCAAGCTGGCGTATGAGTTGCGCGCCGTCGCCGCGATGAAGGACTCTCTATCGAGCTCACAACGCAACTTGTAGCTGAGCAACTCGTTCGTCGTTGATGGCTGCTGCTTATCCTCATGCTCCGCATAAATCCGATTGATTTTTTCAATCGCCTGGTCTACAGAAACACCGGCCTTCGATTTGCAATTGGTAAACTTGAATGAAACATCGCTTGGAATCTTCGCCAACTGAATACGGCGCCAATTCGTCGGAGACGTGAGGAATACTTCTACGATTTCATCGTTAGTCCTGCGTTGAGGGACTGCTAGTACAGCGGTGATAGGGTTGGCGGCGCGGTTTCGTAGGGTCACGGATTTGGCGATTTTACGACCGCCAGCGGCGATGGAAAAGTCTACGAGCCATTCTTTTGCGAGGAGCTTGTTATGGAAGGGACGAGAGACGAAAAGCTCGATAAGGAAGATGTTGCAATCATCAGAGAGGGCGTTGAGGGTTGGGGATGATAGCTCTTCGGTGGTGACCTTTTCCGGTAAGACCGCCAGCAGGTCCGTAAATGTTCGGAAAACTTTTACGCGCACTTGGAATAACTTTTCGCGGGTAAACTCGGGATTGTTGAGTATTTCATTAGCGCGCAGGTGGTTTTTACATGTTTCTAGTTCTTTTTTCAATTCTTTGTATTTTTCCTCCTCTTGTTCAATTTCATTTAAAATGGAAGAGTAATTATTATCGGGAGAATCAGAAAATGACATTACGTTTAGAAATTGTAAACAAAAAGCACGGCAAAACGAAACGAAATTAGTTAGAGGTTATTTATTATACTATCACGCACGTATAAACTTTACTTGAATTTAACGTTGTATTGGAACATCAGGCGCCATCTTGTCTTGATTACCCCAACTTCAGACGTGCGCCACACTAAATGACTGAAGCAGCTGGTTATGAACATGTGGGGAAATATTCCCGCGTTCTTTCATTTCAATTATCAATGATAGAGTACTCTGCATGGCTCTTTTCATTTCGTTACTGCGGATTATTTCACTTTGTGTTTGTGTTTCAAGTTCGTGCAGGCGTATTTCTGCTGATGATTTCTCAAACTCTAAAGATGCTGTGGTGGCTTCTAGGTCAGCGATTATTATTTGTAAGTTATCCAAAGATTTTCGGCTTTCGTCGAGTTGATTTTTCATTGTAACTATGCACTTTTCTTGTTCTTTTATTTTCTGATTATTCCCGATTGATGCTTCTGATAATTTTAGTTGTAAGTCTGATATAAGTGCACGAGTTGATGTGATGTCTTCAAATAATGAAGAGTTTTCACATTTTGCTTCATCTAGTTCCTGTTGAAATTCATTGAGTTGCATTCGAAGTTGTTGCAGTTCTGCTTCACTTTGTTCCTATAAAAATAAAAAGTATAATTTTGTAATTATACAAAGAATTTATGAAATATTTTACGTTATGTTTTAATAATTGTTCTTTATCTTTTTCCAAAGTATTTAATTTTGTTTGTGAAGTTTCCATTGCGACTTTCTCACAAATCAATACTCTGACAGCTGTGAATAGCTTGAGTGCTAATACTTTATGAGCCTTTTGGAGTTTTTCATGGGCTTCTTTGTATTGCTCGCAATTTTTAACAGTTTCTTCATATTTTTTATCATCTTGCTCTTTTTGCACTTGTAATTCGTTTATTTTTTCTTCAAGTTTTTGGAATGCAATTTTATAGTCCCTAAAAATTAAATAAACAGTGTTATTAAATATTTATGTAATTGAATACTTTATAAATTAACTGTTTGCGTGCTTCAAGCGTCGAATTAAACCTCTCATGCTGATCTTCCAAAACATCTACAGAAACCATATTTTTCTCTAACTCTTCAATGATTTTCTCGAGTTTCTCACAACGTTCACGATAATTCTGCAAGTCTTGCACGGTGCTATCAAGTTCTTGTTGCAACAGTTCATTTTTCTTCTCAAAATTGCTAAAATATAATAATCATAATATTATTTATAATATCATACAAAATATGAGTTTAAGTTACTTCCGATTTTCTGAAATAGTTGCAAATAAATCATTTAATTCCTCTCCGCGCTCTTCATGCTCACGCAGACGATCTTGAAGGATTAAAATCTCTTCATCGCGAGCATTTATGTCGTCCAGAACATTTTCCACGTGTTTTGGAGTTGGCAAACCAGCAACTTTTGTGGTTTGATATTTTTCTGCGAGCATTGTTTCCAAACGGAGAGAATCTTGAGAAATTCTTTCATTTTCTGTCAAATATTTTGAGTTTAACTTGTATAAATATTTTTAAAAATTTATTTTAACAAACCTTCACTTAAACATTTGAACTTTTCACCCAAAGAATACACATTTTTCTTCAACGCTTCATTTTCTTCAATGATTTGTTGTAACGCGTTTGATTTGTTTCGATATTCTTGATATAATTCATTATAAGTATTTTGAAGATTTTCCAAAGCATTTTTATACTCCTAAGATTATAAAAATTAAATTATATTTTATAAATTTTAAATTTGTAAATATTTACCTGTTCATTTTGTCTTGATTGATCTAAATCATTACGAATTTTACCAATATCAGTTTGTAAATATTCCAAAGAGCCTTTCAAAGCTTCATTTTCAGTTTTCAAATTATCCACTTGATTGGTAGTCAACTCACATTTATTTCTTAAATAACTAACCTCACTTAAACTGCTTTTCTGTAAAGTTTCAAGAACATCGGATTGTTTTTCTATGTGTTTTTCCAACTCGTAAAATTTCTCTTCTTTTTCTTTGAAATCTGTTTGAAGCGTTTTAATATATTCCACAAGTTTATCATGTTCCATCATTAGATTAATACACTAAAATACATAAAAAAATATTAACAATAAATCAATTACAATTTAATAAGAAGTTACTTTGGATTCCGAGTCTTTGTTTGTTTGAAGTAAAGAATCTCGTTCAGCCACTAATTTTTTTACATCTTGAACAAGAGTCTTAAGTGCTTCATGCTCTCGATTGTACGCAGCTTGAATTTCCTTCAACTAAAACTTATTTAGCATTAATAGCATTAATAAGGTTTAATTGATTTAAAAAATAATTGCAACCTGCAAGTTAGCGTTGTTTTGAATTTCTCTCTTTGATTCGTCCAAAATCACGTTTTTCTCTAACTCAGCAGTCAATTTAGTGTTAAGTACCTCTTTGACGCTGAACACTTTGTTCAACTCTTCGCAGAGCGCCACTTTTTCTTTGGTGCTCTCCATTTGGAACGAATTCAATTGTTTTACATTGTTTTGTAGTTCATTTATAGCCACATCTTTTTCAGCTACTTCATTTTGGAGTTTTTCACCGAGTTGTTTATTATATTCAGCTATCAACTAAAAAAAATTCATTATTAAATGTTACTTATAATTATTATTGTAAAATTAATATTCTTACAGCTAATTTACTGGCTTTCTTATTCATTGTAGTGACGGCACCTTCCAATTGATCAACTTTACTGATTTCCGACTTAAGTCTTTCATAAATTGCAGTCAAAATTGTTCTTTCTTCCAAATGTCGCACGCGTTCTGTTTGTAGAGCATTGACAGTCTGTTTTTCATTTTCTAAATGTTCTTTAAGTATCTCATTTGTCTTCTCTAGGTCTTCAATATTCTTGTGTAACACTTGCAACTGTTCGTAACAATTCTTTTGATACGCAACAAGCGTTTGACGTTCACTTTTGTTCGTTTCGATTTGTTTAAGCATGATATTATTTTCTGCTGCCAACTGAAACAAAACTTTTATTAGTGACCGAATATTGTTAAAATAATCATTTAAATATTACAGCAAAAAATTGCGTTTGAATTGCTGTTAATTTCTCCTGTGAATTCGCTAATTCTTTCGCAATATCACCAGCTCCAGTCGCAGTTAACACCTGCGCCATGCCTTTGACCTGCATGTGAAGAGCATTGTTTTCATGTCGATATTTCTCGGTGTTGAACAGTAGCTGATTGTATTCTGTCTTAGCATTTGTTAACTTAAAATTCAAAAATGTTATTTAAAGTAATATTTTTTGTTGTAAAAGTTACCTGATCGTTTAATTCATTGATTTTATCAGCACTTTCATGGAGTAAACTTACTTTAGAATCGATTTCCTTGTCTTTATCAGCGATTACTGACTGTAAAGATTCAATATTTTGTTCCTTTGTTAATATTGCTTCTTTTAATGTGTCTATTTCTTCTTTTAAAGACTTTTCTTCCTTAAGAGATTCTTCTAGTTGTGTACAGAGTTGTTGTATTCTATCTTTAAGAGGTTCGTGATTGGAACTTGAAAGTTTTAAAGTTTCACTAAAATGAAACAAATAAAAATAAAGAGTATTTTGATCAAAAAATAATAAAAATTAATTTAATACTTTTCAGATGATGCCAAATTCAATTCCTTCTGTTTATAAATCAATGCACTACTCAATTCATTAATGCAAGTTCGATGAATGTTTATCATTTCAGGCAAAGGCCTCACACATTTCTGTAAATAAAAATAAAAATAAATAAAATCAAGATATCACATTTATAAAAAAAAAATATCAACGTCTACATTTTTTGTCATTGATATATTTCAATTTGAATGTCATTCAAATTGCATTTACATATATTTTATTAAATAATATACACAAACATGCCTAAAATAACAGACCGTGCCACAATTTGCTGGAAAGACAAAAATGATAATATTATTACCGAAGAAGTCATCACCTATGAATGCCTAGACGCAGAAGAAGAAGAAATTGAAGAAGAATCAGCAGCCACGCCTGAATCATCATCAACTTTTTCATTCACCAATGTAAGCGCTTTGAGTACCGACGAGAGTGAAGACAATGATTTTGAAAAACTCATGGTTACTTTGGTCCTTGAAGATTTACTAGAAAAATTAGCGATTTTACGATGTACCTCACAAGGTGAACATAGTCCAATGACTATAAAATATCCTGAATATAAAACACTTGATGATCGTTATGGTCAAGTATTGGAATTCGAAGAGAATCAGTTCTCAGAGTCGAAAAAACGTTACGCAGATTTAAACATGATTTACTCAGTGATTTACAAAACTTTGGAACAGATGGGATTGAATGGATCTTATGCACCTTTAGTTGAAGCAACACGTATCATGAAAAAAACTTTTGAGGACGAAGAAAAGCTTGAGGTTGACGAAGAAGAAACTCGTAATCAAGAAGAAGAACTCAAGAGACAGCTGCATAGTCAACGCAAAGAGTTAGAATCAACTTACAATGATAAATTAGAACAACTACGACTTTTAGAAGTCGCTCATGAGGATGCCATAGCATATGGAAAACTGGAATATAAATATTTAGAAAATTGGGAGGCTGCACGTCTGCATCAAGCACAAGTCATTCAAGAACAGGACGAAAATAACTATCGTGACATCATTTCAACTAATAAAACAAACATTGAGCTAGAAAATCGAATTCATGGTGAATTAGTGCGGTATTTTGATGAAAACGCTGAGGTAACATAAATATAACCTCACTAACATAACCTAACCCACATAACCTTATTAATATTATTTTAGGATTTATCTAACGAAACAACTTATTGGATGTACCGATATGAAACCGAAATGGAAACCCGTGAAGCAGAATTACTCAAACTGCGCATGGATCGTGATGCACAAATGGAAAAATACATGCAACTTAAAGCCACATATGAAAGTCAGAAAGAATTCATTGACCATTGGAATAAAGTGCGAGAAGAACGAAGAATAGCTGCGGAAATTCATGCGAAACAAACAGCAGCTGCGAAAAAGATTCAAGACTGGTGGCGACGTACTATGAAACGGCTAAAAATAGGTCCGTATGGGAAAAAGAAGAAAGGAAAGAAGGGAGGTAAAAAAAAGAAAAAATAACTTACACGAAATTTATCCCAGTTGATGGACGTCGCGATGGGTTGCAGTTGCATTTTAAGCATTTCCAAATCCTGCATTATAATGTTACTTTGATCTGTGGAATCTTTGACTATACTGCTGACGCTGTGCAATTCATTAGACAATTTGGCGACGTGCATTTCGTACTCAATTTTACTTTTCTCAAAAAACGCTATAAAAATTTTATTCTCATTTATAAAATACTTAAAAATTGATAGTAAAAAATTAAATAATTACCTTTTGTATTATGCAGTTGATTATTGGAATTATTCAACTGTTGTTGCAGAAATTGACACTTTTTATGAAACTTCTTCACTGTTTCTTCCATACTTCCAACTTGACTCATAATTCCGTTAACTTTTTGCCTTAGTCTATCATTGTTTTTACTGAGATCTTCAAGAATACACTTTGAGGATGTTTGGGTTTTATTCAGAGTATTTCCACCGGATTCTTGTAAACACAACATAGCCGCACTTAATTTCTCATTTTTACGTGTTAAAAGTTCATTCTCTTCAAGTAATTCACGATTTTGATGAATTATTGAATTCATTGAGGATTCAAGCGTTTTCTGTTTGTTTTTGTAGTTTTCAACTTGTTGTATCCAGTGTTCGTTGGTTAAATCATTACTGCGTTTTTCTATGTCTTCCAGGAGTCGTTTATGGAAGGTGACAGCGTTGAGTACTTCTTTTAAAACAGATTTATCTTGGATGTACTTTATGAGTACATCTCGTACGTAATATTCGCTTTCTTCTATTTGGGTACTTAACGCGTTGATTTCACGCATTGTTTCTGTACTAGTACATTCACCAATTGAATGCTCACTAAAATTACTTTAAAAATTCAAATTTATGTGTTTAAAATATTTAAAAATTACTTGCATGAATGATATTGGAAGAGTGTAATGCATATTTGTGGAATTATCATCATTAAAACCAAAATCTTTTAAATTTATTTCGTTTGGCTGAGAATTTTCTTTGGATTTGGTTGATTTAGAAGGAATTATTTTCTTAAACAGTTTTAAGATTCTCGATGGACTTTTTACAGGTTCCTGTAAACACAAATCAATATAAAATTTATATTTTAATATTTTAATAATAATTCTACTGTCTGTTTAATTTTCGCTACTCTTCTATCGATAGATCTCGGTCTGTATGAAGACGCCTCAGATTCTGTATCCGTGTTATGTTTTGATTCGGTATTCACCGATACATTATCCGCCATCTTGTCCGCTTCATGTTGCAGATAAAAAGTATTCCCTGACGATTCATCCATATCCGTCTCGATCGTAACGATGTAAATCAAGAAATTTTTCCGGCAAGTTTCAATAAACCTCTCCATCTGAGACACGCCAGCACCGCTCAGGTAAATATACTTAAGCAGTGGGCTCGCATCCATTTCTTTCTGCATTTGCTGCGGTTGCATCCACTGATGCTGCATCAATCGCGACTGCTTCGTAGGAAAAGATCCGCGCACGAAATTTTGAAAGAAAAACATATTCAACGTTCATTTACATTTACACCACACGCAGAGTGTTCAGAATGATAAGATGAAAATAAATACATAAAATAACACGCTGGTACCAAAAGTGTCATTTCATTTCAATTTCTAAATTGAAATAAAAGCCAAATGTCAAACAAACAAATACAAAAACAAATTATTTGACATGATAGTTAACATAGTGACAGACGAAAAGTTTCATCAACAATTTGTGTTTCTTTTGTTTTTTCTGTTTGACATCCAGTTTATAACAAAATTCTAATGAATAACTTTTATTAAAATGACTTAATAAAACAGACAAAACATAACGAATCCAATTTAAAAAAAAATTTAAACAAAAACATTAGACTTAAGTCGTTTTGAATGAATCTAAAAATGAATGAATATTCGTTTGGAACGTTCGATGTCGTCGGTGATAATTTTCACAAATTATCTCGCTTTTTCGATAATCATTCATTGCCGCAAACACTTGATTTTGTAAATCTCGAATTTTCTTATCGATCGCCGCAAGTTTCGTCAGTTTTATATCCAATTGTCGATTTACAGATTCAAACTGCACCAAAATCGCCGTGGTTTCTTCCAGCACAAATCCAGACATAGCCCTGGGTCCTCTTTGAACAAACGTCTTGAAATTATTGTACGCTGTATCGTGCACCGCTTTGGCATTTCTTAGCATATTAACTTCTTTATTGACTCTCTCATATTCCACACATTTATTGTTTAATGCATTGTTCATATTTTGAATGTTTCGCGGGAGAAAGTCGAGGAAATGTTTGAGTGAGCTCACACCTCGTTCTTTATGCTTCAAATTTTTCGAAACTGTTCAAAGGTGTCCGCAAACATTTCATCAATTGTTTGTTCCGTAATGTTATCATCTAATTGGTGGCGATTCGGGTGGTAACTCGAACGAGTGGTTCCAATGGTATTGATGCTTGATTGTGTGCAACGTGGGGGTTCTGGAACTTTATTTGAGGAGTTTTCACCACATCTCCTCCATAATATTGATGGTTTTGGTTTCACGTCGAGGTCTGGGAATTCTTGTAGAAGTCTCTCTTCCCAATCAGGTTCGAGTTTAATATCCTTGAAAAGTTTCATCAACAATTTGTGTTTCTTTTGTTTTTTCTGTTTGACATCCAGTTTATAACAAAATTCTAATGAATAACTTTTATTAAAATGACTTAATAAAACATAACGAATCCAATTTAAAAAAAAATTTAAACAAAAACATTAGACTTAAGTCGTTTTGAATGAATCTAAAAATGAATGAATATTCGTTTGGAACGTTCGATGTCGTCGGTGATAATTTTCACAAATTATCTCGCTTTTTCGATAATCATTCATTGCCGCAAACACTTGATTTTGTAAATCTCGAATTTTCTTATCGATCGCCGCAAGTTTCGTCAGTTTTATATCCAATTGTCGATTTACAGATTCAAACTGCACCAAAATCGCCGTGGTTTCTTCCAGCACAAATCCAGACATAGCCCTGGGTCCTCTTTGAACAAACGTCTTGAAATTGTTGTACGCTGTATCGTGCACCGCTTTGGCATTTCTTAGCATATTAACTTCTTTATTGACCCTCTCATATTCCACACATTTATTGTTTAATGCATTGTTCATATTTTGAATGTTTCGCGGGAGAAAGTCGAGGAAATGTTTGAGTGAGCTCACACCTCTTTCTTTATGCTTCAAATTTTTTCGAAACTGTTCAAAGGTGTCTGCAAACATTTCATCAATTGTTTGTTCCGTAATGTTTTCATTTGGAATTGGTGGGGATTCGGGTGGTAACTGAACGAGTGGTTCCAATGGTATTGATGCTTGAATTGTGTGTAATGTCGGAGGTTCTTGGAACTTAATTTGAGGAGTTTTCACCACATCTCCTTCCCATAATATTGATGGTTTTGGTTTCACGTCGAATATAGAATTCTTGTAGAAGTCTCTCTTCCCAATCAGTTCGAGTTTAATATCCTTGGTAGCGGGTTGTCTTTAATGTCATGTTCTGGGTTTTTCCTAGAATAAGTACAAAAAACATTTTAAAGTAGAAGTTTAAAATTCGGATTTAAGTAGGATTTAATTTGTATACCCTTGTTGGATACATGGAAATATCTTTCGGATGGAATCATTTTAATTACAAAGGTAAGTTTAGGGATTACAGGTTGGATTTGATAATGATGCTATCAGAAAGTGATAATCGGAAGTAACGTTCGATTTTTGTTTAAGGCAGGGCCAGCTAATTCAGGCTCATCTTTTCGGTCATAGCTTGCCATGACGCTGCATATATCATACTTTAAATCAATTTTAAGTACTGAACTGAAGGTGCTGACGTATTTTATATGAATTTAGAAGTAATTTTGGAAATCCAATAAAAAGCAAATAGATGTCGCTAAAATTTGAAGAGGGGGGTCTCTTCAGTTTTCTTTTCTTTAGGGTGTATAGATACTAAAAGCTAAAAATCACTATTTTGAGTGTCTGCATTAATAAGAAATGTATTCTTCCAATTTTTTGTTTGTGTTGTCTTCCGTTGATGAAGAAAATACCGTTCGCTCAGCGATTTATTGGATCAACTCAGCAAGAGATACAGGTAAGCGCACACTTTATATGGATTATATTTTACTTTAAACTTTAATTTCACAGGTTTTGGATCAAATATGTTATCAAATTGTGGTTATGATATTGGATTCACGTGAGTGGACAGGAACGGCGTTAGTGTTGGAAACTCTATTGCGACGATTTGGCATTGGTACAAATGAATCGTTATGACCGATGCGTGAAGTGTTTCTGCAAAGATTACATTTTGCAAGATAATACTGTCAGCTCCGACTACTCTAACAGCATACTCATGGCATGGGTGACTTCTGGTATAGGAAGAACTTTTGTAGAAATTCTCTTGAAGAAGACAAACACGTATTTTACGACAAAATGTATGAAATAAAGAAAACAAAACCGATTCTAAGCATTGTGGTATAAAATTAATACGGTTCTGTTGTAAAAAACTCCTTCGGAACATCGTGTGCCACAATTTTGGATAAAGGTGACAGACGAAGGGCCACGTCCACCATTTAAATCATTTTTTTTTGTTAGGACCTATTTCTACAAATCAAGCTATCGTATGTATTGTCACATTATATAATTTATTTGTCAAACGTTTATCGTTTGTTTCAACTGAATCAGTTTTTTTGGTTGAGGTTATGTTTGTGTGAACATGTGACCGTGTGAATGTGGGTTGAATTATTGTTGCATTTTAAAATCAAACTGATTATCTAGAGGTACCAAGTGGGTGAGATCATAATCTACAAAACCGGGTTTACAGAAATAATTGTTCGTGATGTGAGTTTACATTTACTAATAACTATCAAATTTTTATCTGTAGATTTCTGCGGAGGTAGAAATAAAAAAGTCCATCCTCTATGGAAGAGAGCTGGAGGAAAGAAGATGCTAAAACCCTAGAAAACTCAAATTGATGTTGAATAACGTAACATTGTTTTCAACTGAATTTTTTGGAGAAATAATATGGACGACTAATAGGGATCATGTCAAGTTTTCAAGGAAGTAGGTACTTAAAGTATCTATTAATTGCAAAACGATTACACTATTTAAGAGTAAATTTAGTATTTTGGTTTGCAAATTAATGTGCTTTTTATTCGCAAGAAAATGCTTTATACGTATCAATCGGAAATATTGAAATAGTAGCAAGCCATGGAAGAACTCGTGGTTCTTATTTTAGAAGGCTTTGGAAGGTTTATGTTTTTTACGTAATGTTTTGAAGATCCTGGGCATTGGGCATTGGATTAGGTGCATTTTTTGCCTTCAATAAATCTTGCAATGCTTTATTATTGCTTTGATAACTTTCATTAATCAACTAATGAAAGTTGCGTACGATTTCAAGAAACAGTAGAGTCCAGGGGCAAAGATGTCTGTATGTGGAAAGCGCCATTACAGAAGGACACAACGACATCTATACTTATTTATTATATTATTATGAACTAACAGTATAAGTTAAACTTTATTCTAGCAATAATTTTATTGCAAACCTGTGACCGCACCCAAATTACGTGTTAGAGTCTTTAAATATCAAATCAAAACTAGTTTCCTTTTGGCAAACCGAATATTTTGTTAAAAATTATTCACCGCAATTAATTATTTAATAAATCACAAACCACATTAAGAAGTTAATAATGAATGCTAATCTTATATGTAATTTAAAACTTTTGACTTACTAAAGTTGTCTTCGAATAAATATGAAGATATATTTAGGTAACGTTGCCAAAACTTTTATTGTCTACTTAAATTCTGGCTCATATTTTGTAATATTTCTCTACGAGTAGGGGCTTTCAAGTAGGGGCTGGCTGTCGTACCCCTAAAAATAAATACAATTGGGTCTCCAAATTGAAAAGTTTTGCAAATACAATACCGCTTTTGACATATTCACCTGCTTTAGTTATTATAGCTTTAGAGCCCCCGCAGACCACAAACTTTTTATCGGCCGATAGTTTGATCGGGTTGGGCTGTTAGTGCGCACACTACGCCAACTAAACAGTTGGGTTTGTGGTGAGTGCGCAGACTAGACAACAGTCGGTCGACTATTTTCAGTTTATAAGCTACCGTAGAACAATATTGTCCAGAAATATTATAATTGCTCTGACAGCGGAGGAGAAAAATCAAGAAGAGAGTCCGAGAGTATTGGGTGCATCCCATCCACAGAGATAGATTATTAAATGGAAAATTTTACACGATGCATTCAAAAGTACTAGATTACCCGAAAAGTTTTTCGCATTTTATCGGATGACCATAACTAGCGCCAAAACTCGGAGCGAACTGAACGAGTCGGCCGACTAAACAATCGGTCGGTGTGCGCACGACTAGCGCACATTCCACACTTTCGGCTTGTGTTATTCTTTGATGTAAGTTCGGTAAATCGTGTTATATTTCCTGATCGCCGGTGATATAGTGTAATCTACGTAATTGTAATTTTTGCGTGTTTAATTGATTAACGTGTTCGTGAATCCGTTGCCATCGGGCCACGGCCGGTGAAAATACCAACGCTATAAGCGCTAATAATCAATTGACTTGTGAAAAACATATTTGTCATCAACAGAGGAGCATGAATCAATGTGCTACCAAGTAAATATTGTCATTCCTATGATTATTACGCGAATAACAAGAATTTTAATTCAAAGTTTGTGTTCCGACGGAACGTAGATTCATTTCAATATAGCGCGAAATGCTGTAGCTAATGTTTTGTTTCTCATTTATTACAGCATTCGCTAACTTGCCGTCGATCAATATACCGTCTTCCCTTACCGGTAAGTAAAATAATTTCATTATTTATAGTCTAGTACGTGTATCAATTATAGATGGCCTTAGCATGAAATGAAAATCATTAAAATAGACTTGTTTTGTTTATTTAGATATTTATCAGCAAACTTGTGCATTCGACACGACACAAGATTGCCGTGTGTTGTCGTTACCATCCTTTCACGTCTCGCTCTGCTTTTTTAGTTTAGTTTAGTTTAGTTCGCATGTATCGGGTCTGTTGTAATTTGTATAAAGTAAAGCGGGCAGTCGCTCGGCCATCCTTCTTGCGCCGGCTTTGCGCGTTCGGGCAGCAGGTAGTCTTATCATGAACTGCTCGCAGCGCGTTTGCTTCTGCTGAGGTACATCATATGCACTATTTTAATACTATGTATCGAGAATTCACTCTTCTTTTCGAAAAGTAGATTAATAAGTTTCCAATCCGTTCCTCTGCCGTTTCTTTATAAACAAAGTTTCGTAAAGTTAATGGAAAAGTACCGGTTTTCTTTAAAAGTCTCATTTAAATGTTTGTTTTGAGTTAGTTTTTACTTAATTTGGAGTGAAATTAAATACAGAATATGACCCCGAAAGAATTAATTTTGTAGATTGTTTTATTTTAAAGTTATCAATTAATTAATAGTATAAAACTTGTGTTTTTATATTTTAGACACCTGTTCTTCACTAGCGTATATTGACATAGAATAACCTCAACCGCTCACATGTTTATTATATTTTGCGCTTATTGCGCGTCTCTGTAATGATTTTCCTATTATTTTCATTTTGGTTTATAACCATAAACCTTGAAACACGGGTGACACGTGCCGAAAGTATGTGCGAAAGAATTTAATAAAGTTAAATCGATAAAATGCCATGACCCAAGAATGAATGTAAGATATTCAACTGCATTGAACTTGATTAAAACACTTAGCAATAAATTAAAATCAACAAGTTCACACGTATCTACACTCTATCACACATACATTCCACGATTAAATGTGAATGAATAAATTACTCATTTTAAAATTTGAGTAATTATGAGATACTCTATCATTTTAGCATGCAAGTAATGTTTAATAAATGTTTGATAATTACATTTAACATTACAATTACAGACACTGTCTGCACATTAGTATTTAATCCGTTTATGAATAGGGAAAGTAAATCCTTTTGGTATGTTCTTGTCGCGGTAATAATCATAAAATGTGACGCAAACGACAATGCGTTTGTTTCACGATAAATTTAAGTTATCGTAATTTCAGTAAGTGGAAAATGTCTAGTAGGCATTCATAATTTTTTTTGTTAGGTATTTTCGCCTACTACGACAATCACGCCACAGGAAATCCACAGATTATTATTATTATTATTATTGATTTAAATTAAAAGGTGTTTGTTGAGGTCAAAGTATTGAACTTTGCTTTGAACGCTTCACCATAACTCTTTTCATATGTGTTTAACGAATTGTGGAATGTGTTATGTATTTACCGTTAGAAATCTTTTTTTTTTCACATTATAATTGTTTATTTTGTCGAATCATAACATTTATAGATTGGCAATATGTATTTTATTTGATATTTTATTAGTAATTCAATATCTACGATGTTTACTATAAAAACCATAGCGTGTGTAGCGATAAATTGTTATGTAAATGTCGATGCACGTTACGATTGGAAAACTTTATTTCTGCAAGTAATGACGACATTATTACAATGTAAATTTATTTATTACGTGATTTAATCGGTGCCAGATTAAGGAAAATGTCTATCTGAACGGCTCAAGGTCCTTAATTTAAAAAGAAGTAGGATTATATTAGTTAGACAGTGAATCTTATCTGTTTTTACACGAAAATAATTTTCGGATTGTCTGGAAATCTGAAGTGCCAACTTCCATAAATTTACCTAAAAATAAACCGAAATAATATTGAACTTTTCATCATAAAGTGCGAGTGTTTATTACATGTTTTTCGGTAATATTTCTAAAAATACATTTGCAATACACTTGCAATATTTATTTATATCTTTAAAATGTACTTGATATAACAATCTTGGTTACGTTTACTTTGATTTGTTTTCTCGTATGTGGCAAACACGTGCGTTTAAATGACAACACCCAGTATTCTCGTATTTACCAAAAGATATAATAACCACAGGTTCGTTTATCAGTACGTTTTTCACAGCTTAGTGTAAATACAACACACATATTGTTAGCTAACTTCTAACAGGATGGCAATATACTAACGTATATTTCATAATATTGCAATATGAAAGTGAAATTTATGTAGAACTGTTGCAGATGACATGAATTTATTCAAATTCTGAGTTCAAAGTATCGCCTGGAAAAATTTCGGCAGCATCATGAGGTCACTAAATCTCTTCGGTGTGTGGGACTATGTGGTTCTATGCATTGTCCTTCTCATATCATCCGGAATTGGGATTTATTACAGATTTACTGGAGGTAAACAGAAGACATTAAGAGTAAGTTGTATTAAATTCAATATATATTCTAACATACTTGAGATTAATTTGTTTTCGGTTGTAGGAGTATTTATTGGCCGATAAAAGCATGCCTATAATGCCTGTGGCATTTTCATTAATGGCTTCCTTCATGTCCGCGATCACCCTTCTTGGAGTATCCAGTGAGAACTACACGTTTGGTTTT